CTGAAGCTAGAATGATGAGAGGCATCGCTCTGATTGTGTAAAATGAGCTGCTGGAGCTGCTCTCATGACTGAATTTTCATTTTGGCTTTTGCGCCCAGTTAAGCTGTATTTTATTCTGTTTACATGAAGATGGCTGTATGCCTGTGATGCTGCTCAGTGTGCATTACTGGGCTCACAAATAGATTTCCAAAAAGAATTTTAATGTTACAACAAAATGTACAAATAGATTTCCAAAAAGAATTTTAATGTTACAACAAAATGTATCTCATGCAACAACTCTCTGACTCTCTTGGTTAAAGTTCAACCTACCTCTTCATGTCGACAAGTCATAGTCGTTCATATTCGTTTAAGTCATACTTCTTCTTTGTGAATCCTGTTTGCAAGTGGCTGAACACTGAGGAAGAGGGGCCAGACAAGGGCACAGTAAGGCTACGCCTCTCTACAGGGGAAACAAAGTAAATTGTGTGTGCAGCCTCAGCTCATTCTTTCATTGCCAATCATAGTCTACAGTGTTTTTATTCACAATATGCAAAATAACTCAGGAAACAGAGTTATCCAAAATATTCCTTGCAGAATGTCAAATTTCAGCATTTGGGTTTTTTATTGTGTTATTCTATCCTTGGCAAGTCAAGTCACATACTGAAACACTATGAAATGGCTGGATGGGTATGTCTCTCATTAAACTGAACTGTATAAACTTCTGTCTGGATTAACCTGTTGACTGTTTTTCTGTCACGGCTTGAGGCAACATTAAATTAATGGAGATAAGAGCTTTGAGCCAAAAATAACACCCTGTCTCTTGTGTGCCTGTGGAGAATAAAATAGCACAAATTATCTTCCTTCAGAGTTTTGGCTGCCAGTATGCAGAGTTTTGGTAAAGATGAGAAAATGTGTAATGTGTTAAATGCCAATTGTCAAGTGAACAACTCCTTAATATTACAGGATCCCTATACGTATTTATTTTCATTTTAAAAAAGAGTGTCTACAAAGAACTTCTGTGCATTGATTTTTCTTTCACCGTATATCTCACTTTTGGTTTTGGTTTTGGCCATGAGGACATTAAAAGATTAGTTGGTTTTGTCCATTAATGATATATATTGTGGAGGAGGCGGATATATGTTGTTGTTAGCGTATATTAACAGGGCAGTGTTTTAATACCACAGCAGACTTATATGATATTGACTACCTTTTTTTTAGCTTTTTCCTACCCGTGCAAACCCAATATGCTTTTCATGTCCACCTCTGTCTCTCCCTCCCCCACTGACTATAGATTTTTCACATCTTATATATTACCAGGTTGAGTGGTCTGTCTGATTTTTCCACCCCTGTCTGGTGTGCAATGGTATATCCCCAGGGGAAGTCCCTCGCCGCCCCCCATTCTCATTTGAACTTTGACCCTGGCCTCCTGCCTTTCAGGATATGAAATGACCCTCTCAGTGGGAGAATGTTTTGGAACTGTTTTAGCTGAGTCTGTTTAATGTAGGCTGGAGCAGATGAGGAGCTCAGAGGGCTGCGTGGCCATTTTGTTGACAGATCCAAGCGCTCTATTTTAACTAGCCATGTGTCTTTAGACAATGAGAATGTGTCTAAGTGGACTTTTATATAGTGTGCTATGCAAAAGAGGCTGGTATAACATGGGTGTGATGGTTAATCATCAACTTATCAGCCAGTCAGAACTCATCTCCTGTATTTAATAAAAAGATGTGCTAGTCATGGAGCATGATGAAAATGGCTCATCGTTGGAGAGTACATTGCGGTTTCTCCTGGGAAAAAAAAATGTTGTTGAAGAGGTGCAGAGTGTCAGTGTGTCCCCAGGATGTCACTATTTCCTACACCCACTGGTTTACAATAAATAGGAATACAAGTTGTAACCCATCAGTTTGATGTGCAGAGAAACACAGATGTGTGTGTGGTATTTTGCAGCAGAGAGGTGTTGACTGCACATGATATAATCAACGTAACTTGCATGCATCTCCAAACTTTTTGTTCCTCTCCACCCAGCTTTGCACTAATGGCATTGTGCATGGCATGAAAAACAGTTTAACTACCAAGATGTACTAATCCTGTTTATACCAGTCTCCACCATGGAAAAGGGATCTTAATCTGCTCGTCTTGGCCAACACACCAGTCTGTGGTCAACAACATTGGTTGTAAGAGAGAATGTTCTATGGTTTCTGCGCTTGATTACTTATATTTGTTTTCTCTGCTCTTTTTTTAAATCAACCACAGAGTCAGCACATACACAACGTGTTCTGAATTGACATTTCTAGCAGCACCTACCAACTCTTACCTTACTTTATAACATCCTTACTCACTGAGTAAGATAATACACTAAATAACAAATATAACAAATAAAAATAACAAATATGTCTACATTTGTGACTGCATGCACTGACATCCAGTATGTTTTTGTAGATATGATCTATGCACAGTGTCGTCAGTGCTATCCTCCTCTCAGTCACTTGGGTGATTCTTGTGCATTCAACGGTTGTAATGTGTGTGATGGTATATGGTAAAAAAAAACCATTGGGATTATTTAATAATAAATAGTAGGATTGTGATAAGATTCATAGTGGGAATGATCATTTTTGCATCACAATTTTCATTTTCACTGAAAAAACTATTAAATTGAAGAGAATATGACATCTGTTGGGGTCTGTACCAAAAAACATGTTTTTACATCTGGAGAATTAGATTTGTAGGCCAGAGTATCTCTGCAGCTCTACAGTACTTCATTATAATGCTGTTTTGTCACACAGTTTGCCATTATCAAAAAATTGCACTTTCTGTGATTTGGCTATATTGCGATTTTCATAATATTTCCATTAATTGTGCAGCCCTAAAGTGATACATATATATATTTATAATTATAATATAGTATCATCATACTAGTATTAACCATGAAAACGACAATTATGATTTGATTGAATGTGACCATAAAGATTTCTGCTGTGTAGACTCTAAGTTAGTGAAACACTGAGAAAAGAAAAACAAATATCAAACAGCCTGTGTCATAGTTCTCCTGCTCCAATCACAAACTGAGCATTTTCTTAATTAATCACGAACAGAGTTGAGTGCGAACAGTAAGTGCGGCAGATGCTCAACAGTTTGGTGTTAAATTGAGTGAGAGAGCCGGTGTATGAGAGGCTCTCGGGGCAGAACTTTAATCTTGTCTCTGGCGGATACCTTGCTCTTCAGTGAGTTACAGGTCCATGACATATGCTTGTGTTGTTACAACAAACCACCTTATTGTGTTTGACTACTGTTCTGGCTCAACTATACAGTATGGAGCATGGGAAAACACATGTGTCTGCTCTTGATACATGAGAGGCTCATACTCAGAGTAAGTAACTCAGAGCTACTTTAAAATAATCTGTAATCTGCCATATTTATTCACTCACCAAAGAAAGCAGGAATTACACAGGAATTTAAATGCAGTGTATGGAAAAAACCAAAATCACCACTAAAGGTACCCCATTTTTTTGTACCTTCAACAAAGCCACGTTATTCAGTTGACTTGATATTTAATGACTCTGATCTACTGTTTGTGTTTGCTGAAAGTGCTCACGTGCTTTAGAATGTGTCATGTCAACTTTATTACAGTCAAGTCCACATATATACAGATACAGTACAAGTTTGTCATTAGCTTGTCTTGCTTCCAGTCTTTTGTATTTGCTCTGTCAAAAATTCTGGCAACCGAGCTGAAATCTTAAGCAACCAGCACGCCCATAGAGTTGACTTTGGAAGGCACTAAGCATTCCTGCTCGATACCATATTAGCCCCTACTTCTCCCCACCTTGGGGTGCTGGGCAGCCTGCCAGGTAGAGGTTGCCATGACTCCTAACACCACCCTTTACACTGCCCCCACCAGCGCAATCCCCCCCCCACAGAAGGTGCCAGATTTTGGGAGGAGGCAGGCAGGCCGGCTAACATTTGATTTAGACAAAAGATGTCTTCACAATGTCAGCAGAATACTTACTGGGAAGGCTGTGGCTTTCTGGTAGGAAATCATGTGATCTTCCGAGCCAAGGTTTTGTAATGGTGCCAGGCGAGAGAGAGAGAGAAAGACACTCAGAGGGAGAAAAGGGGGAAACTTTAAATAATGATGCCAGCTAATCGTTTTTATCCAGTTTTTTCTTCTTTTGTTCTTGTTTGTTTCGGAGAAAATGGCGGACAGCACATCGCTGAACTGAACCCGTACTGTCAGTGGGCTCAGTTTAGAAGTGCCCCTCGGTCTTTTCATCATTCCTCTCATTACCAGAAAAAAAACAAAAAAACAACGGTTGTAACGCTCGTGGCTCATTGCTCACACTCGAGTAGAAAGCGTGGATAGAGAAAAATAGAGATGATAAATCAGACAGGATAGTAGAAATGTGGGTAAGTGGCATTTTCCCTCTCTTCTCACTTTAGACTTTCCTTTGTCGCACTGCGGCCGTAGGAATATTCCGTTGTTTGTGGCTCTCTGGCACTGGCACAGTTAATGGTAGCTGACCGTGGCATGCTTGATTACACTGGCATCCCTCTCAGGCTCTGCTGTCTGCTATCTGCGGTCTTGGCTAAGTTGAGCTAACCTCTCACCACAGCCACATTGCTGCTGGCCAGGAAGAGGGACTGCTATGGCAATTCTGCGGGCTAGTTTGGGATAGGAGTCCACAACAGAGTTATGATTGTTATTATTATGGACTTAATTTCATATCTGGGAACTGCTGAGGCATGTGACGCTCCCAAACCGAGGAACAGCAGCTTCAGAATATGTGGCAATTTGTGTTTAAATGTTTGTTTCCCCCTGTGTGGATCTGATCAGTCAGAACAGTTACTGGCATGTTTTGTAACGTTATACTCCTCTTTTTCCTTTCTCACCATCACACTACTCATTGGTTTCTTATTCTGTTTACTGATAGTGTTGCTAGTGTTTTGTAAAGCACTAACTATTCAGTAAAAACAGCAGTTACATACCGTTGTGTGGTATTTAAAAACAACTTTCTTTTTCCTGTTTTCAGAGAGGCGAACTAAAATCTGACCCCAGGCAGCGAAACCCCCAGAGCAAGACACTTCCATGAAGGGTAAGTTATCACAATCCTTCACCATCTGTTTGATGAACTTTGATTTTTTTGGGGGTGAATCTCAACAAAGGCTCTTGTTGCAGTTTCTCTAAATGACAGCTGAACTGAACTCAAAACCCTTTTGCTCCAGACTTTGGACTCGCTGTCTCTTTCACGCTCTATATGAACGCTGAAGAACGCCTACACTGTCAGCTGACGTTCAGCACACTAGGCAAGAAGTTTTTAGGTCAAGTCACGTTGTGTGATTGGCATCTCTCTCTAAATCACATCATCTGAGACACGCCACTCACATTCACTTTCATAGTTCTTTGTCACATCAGAGAGTACAGTGCTCAGATTTTATGATACATTTTTTGTCATTTATTCAGTTACTTTGATACTTTGGCCATAACCATTTGGCACAAACCCGTAGATCCGATCTTGTGGCAAATCTGACAGCACAAGCTCGCCTCTGTGGGTCTTTGTCATTGTGGTGTGAACGTCGTCTTTTAACCTTTTTTTTTTCTTTTTGCTTGAATAACCTGTTTGGTGATATGAGTGTAGTGTAAAGTGTAAAATATAAATAATAGTCTCATGGCAGTACATATTAAACAAATGATCTTCCTCTAACATCCAACATCCTCTAACAAGCAATCTGCCTCCCTGTTAGTTGCAAACGCCTTCATTGACTTAAAAACTGAAATATGATGAGGGTGATGAGGCTTTGTGTTCGATAAGTATGACAAAGAGAAGTTTCGGCTAGAGGTTGGTATACCGTAAAACTTCCAATAAAAGCAGGGTCCCTAATAGACTCAGGTCTCATTTAAAAGCCTGGTGTGGCTACACGTTTTGACAAATAAACGCAGGTCTCCAATAGAGGCCTGGTCTGGATTTTATAGAAATTATCTCGATGTATAAACCCTCTCAAAACCCACCGGGTCGCCCGCTTGAGCGAGTTTTAAGTTGTTTAAATCTCCTACACAAATATAAATGTTTAAACTCATGTCCATATGTACGTGCTGCACATCATTAGATCAGTTATAGATTTTCCACAATTCAATCATTCCCTATATTTTACGAAAACGATCAACAAAAAAGTATAATGTTAATTCATTCGGACTTACCGGTAACACGGTAAACAAGAGAGAAGGAAAAAAACCTCTGAAGCAATCATAATCATCGTGTTAGTTGTTTGATTTTTGTTGAATTTGCTGAACAAAATCTCAAGAGAAGCAGCAGTTTAGTTTCGTGATAAAGGAATTAAACGCCTGTCCAAAATAGAGGTCTGTCCCAAATAATAATGATTTAAGCAAATAAACGCCCGGGCTATTATTAGAAGTTTTACGGTACTTTGCATAACAAATAGAGAAGAGGAATCCTAGTTGAAAATGTGTGCATCCGGGTTGAGGTAGTAGGTTGTATGGTTTAGAATTACACCCTGGGAGTTAACTGTACAACCTTCTAGCTTTCCTTGGAGTACACGTATGACATCAGTCTATATAGAAAATGGTTTTCCTTATAATGCAGCACGCAGAATGGAATTTTCCAGTAGTGTCCTTGCAGTTATAATGCCTCTATGTAGTGCTAATTGTCTTCATATATATGTCATTTTTGCCCATTTGAGGTTCTCATTTCATAGTTGACCTTTAGCCATGGTCAGCCTGCCTGCTGCGGCTCAAAACCTTCAATTAGCGTTAGCTTGACATGCTGTATTTTTAGACATAATGTATTGTGGTTAGTCGGAGTAACTGCACCGCATCGATTGCATTATGGTGTCACACAGAACACATAAACGTGCAGTCTGTTGTTTTCCCCTATTTGTCTCTAAGTTCCCATATATCAAGTCCTGTTAATGACAAATCTCAGGAATATGTGCAGTTGTATGCTAGTAAACAGGCCAAATGACATGTTAAACTGTTGCTCACAACACAGTGGCATTTTGATCTCCAGCTGCGGTTGTAGCTATTACTGTGAAACTCAGTATGTAAAAAAAAATGGAGTGTTAAAATGTTCTAAGTATGCTTTATTTATTGACTTATTTGGAATTGCCATTTTCTCACTAAGGTGTAATTGTGTGGTGGAACCTATTTCACACAACGATGGCTTCGCTTTTCAAACTGTTGCTCCATCTTTGCGGCCTGGTATTACACCTCAGCCTGTTTAGTCAGTGTGGGGCCGTGGTGTCTTCCGAATCAGTTGCATGCGAACCGTGTGCCAAACATTATGATGCACAGATGGTTCGATATAAACACAAAGTATGAAATAAAATAATCATAATAAATCTGACTTGTTCTTTTTAACAGATTCTTCCCGGTGACTGCCATGCCCTGTGGTTTTACAGCATTGCCATTTGCACATTACATTTTAATATTTTTCAGCAGCTGGCAAAGGTTAGATACATTTCTCAGGGATTGAGAGGTTTGATTATCATACCTAACAGTATTTAAAGCTGTTTGCCCAATGCTGCCTCAGTAGACCTCAGTAATATTCCAGGTTTCCCAGCGTGGGAAAAGTTGAATGTTTATACAGTTGTTTCTGGGCCCTGTGATATATTGTCCGCAGTTCCATACAATGATGCATTTGTGATATGAGGTCTAGTTTCAGGTTGAAACTTGCCTCGGCGACACTGAAGTCTCTGTTTACTGTAGACTTGTCCACTAGGCTGAATGCGTCTGACTTCATCTGTGTCTGGCGCTAAGCCACGGCTTGTAAAATGACTCCAAAGCACCACAGAGGAGAAAAATGGCCTAGCAGATCAGCTAAAGATTTACCACAGTTTGTTACTCTTCAGGATGACTTGATTTGAAATGCAGCTTGAGTAGGGAGCCTTGTTGTAATTTGTGCTGTAGTTCTTTATCATCTTGACAGTGTTTTTTTCAGTTTGATGGATGACACTGCTTTGCTGTGTTTAGGGCCAGGGCTGAGTGGACCACCTTTCTGCAACCTTTGTCATTTATCCAATTAGCTCTTTGGTTTCAAGTGGTTGAGATAGCATCTTTTTTCATGGTGTTTGATGCTCAGAGTTTCTTCTGAACTGTTGTTGTACTTTGAAATTTTAAATCAAACACGTACTCATTTACAGTGATATATTTATATATATTTTCTCTTTATATTTTTTAAGATTACCTTTGGCTAAAGGATTGTGTATTCGTTAGATTTATTATAAGATTGATAATAACCAAATGAGGCTATTCATTTTACAGTAATAGAGAAGAGAAATGTAAACCATGCTCCCAAAGCTGTACAGCAAGGGACTAGTTTAACAGGCCGTCTTGTGAGGTTTTTTTAATTCACAAAGGTTCAATTCCTGAAATCGTCTTGGACAAGTCCTGGAAAACCCCTTACTTGTTTCAGTGCAGATATTGAATGGGATTAATTGGAAATGGCTATTTTTAGATCATCAGTAATTAAATCCAGAGTGATACTAACACCTCCATTGAAGCCCAATGATCCTGCTCAGCCTCACATCGCCAACAGAGTCATTGTCATCAAACAGGTTTCTGTGAGGGAATATGATCCTGGTAAATCCCAGGAAACCCAAGAACTCCTTTTATTGCGTATTTTGCGTCCCCAGTGCTAGGAAGGTCACACTTCCTCATTCAACCAAACATCAGCAGGGTTCATATCACCGCTGCTCTGACCCACTCACGTGAAAAATGGTCCAAATAACTGCTGAAAAGCAGACGATGTGCAGTGTGTCACAGAGGGAATATCATGCTAGTCAGCTTCAAATGAAGGACTAATGTAGGCAGGAACTCATGTGCCTGCTTTATTTAATCAGAAATACATACCTCATTTTACAGTTTAGCCAAAACGAAGAGCCTTCCTCTTTGTTAGCCCTCACAAATTTAACAGGGCATGGAGAGTCAAGATGTGCCTTGCTAAAGTTTATTTTAAGAACTGTGATTTTCTCATCTTTCCTCACCTCTGAACCTCAATGGTTCTTCCAGATGTGTAGAGGAAAGTGTCGCTGCTGAGAATCATGCTGCCTCAGCACTCCCCTGTCCAGCTGCCCCAGCAGCACAGCTAAAAGTCATTGGTTCCAGCTGGGCCTTCATTTATGGGATGGTTGAACAAATAAATTATGGGATTAGATAGGGGCGGTTCAAGCCGCTGATTTTTTTTTTTTTTTTTTTCGGTCTCCACTGCTGTAACAGCCCCTTTGAGAAGTCAGTTGGCTAGAAGTCTCAAGGTTCTTCAGCTGACTTTAAGAATTAATAAAATAAAGATTCTCTTTATTGAATTTGGTATGCTGCAGTCCAAATTATGTACAGCAGAAAGTGCTGGCAATGACTCAGTGTCACCTTTACACCAAATTCTATTAACAAGCAACAACAAAGGCAGGCAAGCATAAACCCAAACTCAGTGTTTTCTGGACAAACAGCAACTAGAAAACAAGAAAACTATCCTTAAAAATACAAAGCTGTGTACACATTTTTTCATTTTAAATGTCTTTTCTTCATCCTTGGCCAGTTCAATATGCATTAGTCAGCCTTGAAACTTATTGACTGCTGTCTCTTACTACTAAGGCAAGAAAGTTGACTGTCTCCTATTGTGTGTACAGCTAAACTGAAAAAAGATATGGAAAAGATTCAGAGCTCGTTATAGCTCCAGCTGAAGATAAATCTCACAGAGTTATAAAAGTAAAAACACGCTGTCCCCAAAGTACGTGTATATCATTGTAAGTGGAGTGGATCTGGTACATACAGGGGGATCACATTGCAGATTACACTTCTGCTTTTTTGCTTGGGGATCTGGGAAACCGTATATACATAGGAATTAACCCAGCACACAAGGGTAATATACTTTGTGATACTTTCTCTTCCTCAGGTGTTTGAGAGCCATCCAAATCTATCACAGAGAGTGACACTCAAGACACAACATACTTGTAAAATCAGCCAATTGCCGCTTACGTCTGTAACCGCTCTATGAGCGGTGATTGGCTTCTTTTTCTTGACGTCACAGACGGGTGGAGACCTTAGTAACAAATCGTCTGAGACCAGAACACTGTCAGTTCTGGC